AACCTCACCACGCAAAAAGCCAAATCTATTCTAGTCTGAGTAGTGTGGGGGACAGTAGGCTTTTTGTTGGGCTCAGATTCTGGCAGATGGCTCATATTGCAGCGTCCCAAAATCACCTACTGTATCCGTATTTTGGCTGCTGGAATATACTTGTCCCAGAGCAGGCAACACATGCCTAACGTATTTGATCGGCTACACGTCCGTCTGTTTTGGAATTCAGATTAAATGCCGCATTTGCCCCCGCAAGACATAGAGAACAATGGTGTTGGGCCGGGTGAAAGTATGTTGAGAAATCGATGTGTATTAAAAGCCGGTGTGTGGCACCTGCAAACCTTACCTCCTAAGCAAGCACACATTTGCAGTCGCTCCATAGCTCATTTGGAAGGGGGTGCTGCCTGAGTGTTCTCAACAGCGCGGGACCCCCGCCCCCCTTGGCACCCCCTTCATCTAAACTAGATTTACGGTTATTCCCAAAAGCACCTCCGATGCGTCGGGTGGGTTCTCGTTTAATTTAGTTTGCTTTGCCGCGAGGGGAGCGAGACCGAAGCGTGGACGGACAGGACACCTTGCGAAATTGCTGAGAGAGAGAGAGAGAGAGAGAGAGCGACGGCAAATAGCTAACTGAAAACCATTGGAAATAGCTTGGGAAAAGCTTTGCTGGGAGGGAGCGAGAATGCAGCGTGAACAGACAGGAAAGCGTTGGAAACAGCTTGGGCAAAGCTCCGGTGGGAGGGAGCGAGAATGCAGCGTAGACGGACAGGAGGCCGTGGAAATAGCTTGGGGTGAACTCCGTTGGGAGGGGGCGACACTAAAATGCAAAGCTGCTGACAAGGTTTTTTCAGCACAAATTCCATCAACGCGATTGTCCCGAAAAACTGCGTGCCCAAGACTTGTCAAATGGTTTCCAAATGCTGGGCAATGGGACATGCATGGGAAAAAGTGGTGGCTGGAAAGCTTTTTCATTCCGCACGGTGTCCTGTCCGTCCACGCACGGTGTTTGTTCAAAAAGGTTGTTGACATGGGTCCAGAATGGTGATATTGCCACTGTGTTCAATAAATAAAAGGGCAAACGCCCGGGTGCCGCCGGCCCCCTGTTAAAGAGGCATGCTTTTGGTGATTTTTGAGCCATGGTGTGGAGAGTTCCTGGAAGCTGGCAACCTCCTAGGGCTGGGCAAAACTTGCCAACCAGCAGTTTCAAAACCCCATTGAAAGGAGGTTTTGAAGCTGAAGCTGCAGCACTTTAGAGACCCGATAGATACCAGCACTCTAGAGACCTTATCGAAACAAGGTTGGTGAACCCTGGCCACCTGGAGCTGAAGCTGCAGCAGTTTCGCCAAACTTTGCAACGGGCAGAAGCTGCAGCGAAGCTTTTCAGGGCTGAGCAAAACATGCCAACCAGCAGTTTCGAAACTCTAAAAAAAGGAGGTTTTGGAACTGAAGGTGCAGCACTTTAGAGACCCTATCGAAACAAGGTTGGTGAACCTAACAAAGTTTGGGCCCTGACCACCTGGAGCTGAAGCTGCAGCAGTTTCGCGTCGCAAACCTTGGCAACGGGCAGAAGCCGCAGCGGAGCTTTTCAGGGCTGAGACGAAGCGTGCCAACCAGCAGTTTCATGACCCTATAGACAGTTGTGGAGCTGAAGCTGCAGCACTATAGAGGCCCCTGTAGAAACCAGCACTTCAGAGACCCTATAGAAACAAGGTGGGTGAACCCAGCAAAGTTTGGACCTGGCCACCTGGACCTGAAGCTGCAGCAGTTTCGTAACCCTTGGCAACGGGCTGAAGCTGCAGCGAAGCTTTTCAGGGCTGGGCGAAAAGTGCCAACCAGCCCTTTCGAAACCGTATAGAAAGGAGGTCTTAGAGCAGAACTAGCACTTTAGAGATCCTATCAAAACAAGGTTGATGAACCTAGCAAAGTTTGGTCGCAACCCCTTGGCAGCGGGCTGAAGCTGCAGCGAAGCTTTTATTTGAGGGCTGGCGAAACGTGCCAGCCAGCAGTTTCGAAACCCTATAGCAAGGAGGTTGTGGAGCTGAAGCTGCAGAACTTTAGAGACCCGGGCAAAGTTTAGACCGTGGCCACCTGAAACTGAAGCTGCAGCAGTTTTGCAACCCTTGGCAACTGGCTGAAGTCCGGCAGTTTCGAAACCATATAGAAAGGAGGTTCTGGTTCTGAAAGGGGGTTTTGGTTTTGAAACAAGGTTGGTAGACCTGGCAAAGTTTGGATCTGGCCACCCGGAGCTGAAGCTGAAGGAGTTTCGCAACCCTTGGCAACGGGCTGAAGTTGCACCGAAGCTTTTCAACGTTTCGGAACCTTATACAAACTATAGAAAAGCGGTTTTGGAGCTGAAGCTGCAGCACTTTAAAGACCCTATAGAGACCCTATCGAAACAAGGTTGGTGAACCCAGCGAGGTTTGGACCCTGGCCGCCTGGAGCTGAAGCTGCAGCAGTTTCGCCAAACTTTCCAACGGGCAGAAGCTGCAGCGAAGTTTTTCAGGGCTGAGCGACCAACAGTTTCGAAACCCTATTATTAAAGGAGGTTTTGGAGCTGGAGCTGCAACACTTGGAGGCCCTATAGAAAGCTGCACGCTAGAGACCCCATAGAAACAAGGTTGGTGAATGCGGCGAAACTTTTCAGGGCTGAAGTAGCAGCAGTTCGCAACCCTTGGCAACGGGCTGAAGCTGCAGCAAAGCTTCTCAAGGCTTGGCGAAACGTGCCAACCAGCAATTTCGAAACCGTCTTAGAAACCAGCACTTTATAGAAACAAGGTTGGTGAACCTAGCAAGGTTTGGACCGTGGCCACCTGGTGCTGGAGCTGAAGCTGCAGCAAGCTTGGTGAACTTAGCACAGTTTGGAACCTGTCCACTGGAGCTGAAGCTGCAGCTGCAGCAGTTTCGCAGCCCCTGGCAGCCAAAGCCCGCGCAAGGGGCCACACCCAATGTCGCATACCTACGGTGATCCCAGGTGCCGCCCCGCCGAGGCCGTTTGTGTACATGCATATAATATAATATAATATAATATAGTATAATATAATATAATATAATATATTATGATATAATATAATATAATATAATAATATAATATAATATAATATATTATGATATAATATAGTATATTATGATATAATATAATATAATATGATCTAATATAATATAATATAATATAATATAATATAATATAATATTTATTTATTTATTTATTTATCTTTTTATTCATTCATGTATTTATTTATTGATTTATTCATTTATTTTTTATTTATTTAAAAAACATGCGCGCATATTTCCCAGTCTATCCTATATTTATTGTGGCTGGTTGTATCGCCGTTCACTTTTTAAGATTGACAAACAAAAAAGGCCAAAATGGGAATAGAGTTACATGAGCAGAAATAGCGATTAGAAGACTGTAGAAGCAGCTGATGCAGCATGCTGTGGTGAATTGCGGCCCCTGATACCATCAGTGCTCACAAGGTCTCAATAAAGATCTCGTGTCGATTTCGTGCAGAGCACAGCTGCCCACACCAGCGCAAGATTCTGCAAAAAAGGTGTGCTGTGCGCCGTCTTGCTTTTGGGTTCTCTCATGCCGGTGCAATTTTCTCAAAAATATGTAAGCATTATCAAAAATTATTCGAAAAATTGCAGAAAAATGACAAAAAAATGACAAAAAAAATACAGAAAAATGACTAAACAAATTGCAATTTTGCAGGTTGCAAAAATGGCATTTTTCCCGAGGCACTGTCATTTTTTGCAATTTCGGTGCAATTTGCTCAAAAATATACGAAAATATCCAAAATTATTCGAAAAATGCTTTCAGAAAAATGACATTTTTGCAACCTGCAAAATTGACATTTTTTTAGTCATTTTTTGTCATTTGGTGAAATTTTTGTTATTTTTTGTCATTTCGGTGCAATTTGCTCAAACATATGCAAAAATATTGAAAATTATCCGAAAAATGACAGAAAAATGACGATGTTTTCATAAAAATAACATGTTTGCAACCTGCAAAATTGTCATTTTTTTGGGGGGTCATTTTTTTGGTCATTTTGTGGATTTTTTGTCATTTCTTGTCATTTTGTCAATCTTGTCAAAAATATTGAAAAGTATCAAAAATTATTCGAAAAATCACAGAAAAAAAGGACAAAATAATGACAATGTCTCGAGAAAAATGCCATTTTTGCAACCTGCAAAATTGTCATTTTTTGGCACAATTTTTGTCAAGAATATGGAAATATATTCAAAAAATGACAGTGTTTCGAGAAAAAATGACAATGTTTCGTGAAAAAATGACAATGTTTCGTGAAAAATGCGATTTTTGCAACCTGCAAAATGACAAAAAAACAAACAAAACGACACCAAAACGCACAAAAAAAATGGCACAAACACGACAATCAAAATGACAGACAAAATTGACATGACACAAAAATGACAAACAAAATTGACATGACAAAAAATTGACAAACAAAATGACAGACAGAACTGAAATGACAAAAAAAATGACAAACAAATGACAGAAAAATCACAACAAAAACGACAAAAAAATGCCAAATTAGATATTTGTTTTTTTTTCAACCTTTGCCTGCCTAATTTTTTTTCTAACTCTAGCCCACCTGTTTTTTTCATTGCCTCCCAAGCAGAAACTGCCCAGCTCCCAATCCCCAACATCGATGCAACCTAGAAAACGATCGGTACTGGCACTTGATTTCTGATTACACTTCATGAACCCAAGTACTCCTTTGGACTGACTTGGCATTTGTAGCTGATTGAAAGCGAGTGGTTCAAGTCCAGTTTGCTGCAACTCAAGTGCAATAGAATTAACATTGCCAGGTATCTAGGGTTCAGAAGAACCAAAGCTCCAGACAAGAATTCTGGAATTTCTGGAAAAATTCATTCAGATAGTTCTTCTGTTTTTCTATTCTTACATTTTAGATCCTTTTGGATCTATCTTTTGGGTCCTGTTTGCACCCTTGTGGTTTTCTGGTTGTTGGAGTCGGCGACCTCGACGACAGGTCTCTTGGACGACTCAATCCCGCTGCCTCGTGCTCTTGCACGTGGGTTGTTTGCTCAAAAGGGCAGTGGCTTAAGATCTGCAGGAGTTCCAGGGAACGCTCGAAAAGCTTCATCGCTGCACAGTGACGAAAGTCTTGGTTACACTTCAGGTAGATTGGCTAAATTTGCAGATTCGTTTTTGTTTCAGGCAAATTGATGATTCCCCATAAGTTGCATTTTCCTTTTCCTGTGTTTCAATTTCTTCTGAAGTACACATGTGGGTTCATCCTTCTCAATTTCGCAACTTCACACAGATTTTGCAAGGATTTTTAATCATATTTATATATATATAGCAGTTATGAATTATAATATGTATGGGCTAGATTTGTTTCAAAAAACTGCCCTCGAGCTGATGTTGTTTTTGTTTGAAAGCGTTTCCAATTCAGCTCAATACCCATTGCACACCACCACCATGTTATTCAAGAGCCACAATCATTGCTATAGTTCGACCTTTTAAAGCTGCCACTCCTCAAATAGTGCAGTATTTCAAGATCCTTTCAAGTGCATAGTGACATAGTTGCTGATCAGTCCCAGGCGCAATCGATTCCACAAGGGCATGGTGCAGCAAGAAGGATGACGAAACACCGTGGTATCAAATGGACCTTGGAGAGGTGAATGAGATTGCTGGTGTGATTGTGGCATCTCGTGGTATCCTCAGTCCATTGCAGTCACCGACCACCTATGACTGACATGACTTCAGCAGAATCAGAGTCATCGATGTTGGGCGTCTTCCCCCTTTCTTCACTTTTTGTCCTTTTTTCCGTGGCTCTGACTCAAACTAAAATTACATAACAATTACACTACATAACAACACATTTTAAGGGAATATCCAGATTAGACTCTGAAACAAGCCGTGCTCACTGCGCTTAGCGGTGATTGGTGATTGATTACAAGCGGAGGCGCAGATGCACCACAGTGGATCACAAGGCCGTGGTGGCAAAAACACTTTGACTTCTTTGGGAACGTGGAGTTTCATTACTTCGCATATCTGCTCATATTCTCGCATATCTTCGCATTTTTCTGTTTTGTGGCCGGGTTTTGCCAGATTCAAAGTCTCTCTTGCTGACTCAGAGGCGGGGCTTGAATGTGTGTACTCGTACAAGACATTTCATTCACTTGACTGCAGCGGAAAGTTTGCAGGACGGTCCTTGGAAGTTGGCAGACGATGGTCGTGAATTCGTTGGGCTGCAGCCTTGTGTTTGTTTGGATTTCCGGCATAGGCATTTCCTGCATGTATACTACACGATAGCATGCTGTGATGCTGTGCTGTGCGGTAATCTACCATACCCCATGCCACCCTCGGCTACACCCTACCACATCCCACCATACCGCCAAACCAGACAATGTGATACAGCGCAACGTCTCAGTACGCCCGGTCACATAAAATAAGATATATGCAACATGTACCATACAGCATTTATTTATACGTATATATAAATACTGTACATGTGTACGAGGCATATTGATTCCATTGCATCCCAGGGCATCCCAGTGACTCATATTGTTGCGATTAACATTATTTGACATCATTCTACCCTAGAATATAATACGCGTGTTGCGAGACCATATGTTAAAGCACAGTACAAGCCATGACATGACATGGCGTGACATGACATGACACTAGACGCCGCACTGCACTATACAATTTAAGACTTTGCCATGCTTTGCAATACCATGTAGATCACACATATAATGCACCACACACCCATACATGCAGTCATCTATCCACGGTACGTAACCTTTGGCGCTCAGGGATTTAATTCATGGGGCATTGATGGAAAAGAGCTGACATGAAGGTAAGAACATGGTAAGATCACAGAACTCCCAAGCTGTGAAATACCGCGTCTCTCGCTCAAGAACCTGTACCATGAGCCATGATGTGTCTTCGAGACGAGACTTGTCTTCCAATGCGAAAATGGGACAGAGGCCAACTTTCTTGTGCCCTTGCAGAGCTGTGTTCCACAGTGTTCAACTCAGTGTTCGTCGGTCAATAGATAACAAGGGTCTCCAAGTGTTATCAAGCTCTCTTGAGTCACTTCTTGTGGTGTGCGTCGAGATCCAAGGTTCGAATCAAGCTCGCTTTGTGAGAGTGGAGCCTCTGAGCTACTCGGGCTGCGCCAAAAGCAGAAAACATATTTCTTCACTCCAATAATTTCTTGCGCTGAAATTGCTGATCAAGACTTGCCTACGGCTCGCCAATCATTGTTCTCCGCAGGTGATATCCCCAAGATATGTGATAAAATGTTTATTGCATGAAGAGCATAGATGCTTGGGATGCGTGAAACTGCAACATGATTTAACGAAATTTACAAAGTTGCTAAACCGCACGGAACCAAAGCTGAAGGATAAAGCAGTTGGCGTATGTTTGCTCCATGTTGAGAAGCCCACTTTGCGCCGATGTTATGAGGTTTTCACAACCACTGCTCACTGCGTGCGGATGTGCTGCTGGCGATGGGAACGGGAGTGGTTCCAGAGTGAAAGGAAACTGCTTGTAAAAAGAAATCGGTTGTGCGAAACTGTTGTCATTTGACAAGAGACAACTCGCATGAACAAATTGAATGAAACTTCACTCAACAGCTGTACTCGTCGAGCACGTCTTGCCTGCTGGTCAGGCAAGTGATGCAGATCGTGACAAGTTGCCAACTATTGCTCCTTGCCCTCGTCAAGCAAATATGTTTGCTTGTGGCTGATTGACTTTGTTCTAAAAGAGTTTCACGAATGCTGCACGTACATAATGCTAAGATATGCTAAGTCGTGATTTCCGCTTGGGACGCTTTACTCAGTTCAGTACTGGACCCAAGCCATTGAAAAATTCATGATTGGCCAGGTACAGTCAAGGGTCAAAGTCGTAGCGATTGTTTGCTTTTGAGTCCATACCATTGGGCGAAGCTCTTTGTAATGCAAAGTAGTGCTGGCAGAAGAGTAGTCTGCAGTGCGAGGGGTGGGCTCTCTCGTGTTTGTTGTGCTGGTACTTTGTATCCTTCAAATGAAGGCAATCCCCTTGTGTTTTGATGGATTGCTGTGACCCTGCTGTGACCCGGTCGTGGCGACTTTTCCGCAACATTCAAGAAAATTGCTCTGACTTCAGCCCTCGACTGTACATGTACGAGGAAAACTAGAAAGGGAAAACTTCTACAGATTTGACATAAAATCAGTAAGGGTCGCAAAAGCACAGGTGACTGAGCGATTCAGAGGTCTGAGATTTGTTCGATTCAAGCAGCTAGCGGTTTGAACCCGTTCGATTCAGGTCGTCTTGGGAAACTTCAGCGCTGGAGATGTTTTTGAGTTTGCGTCTCCAGAGGCTGGCACACCAGATACACCTTCCCAGACCTTCCTGCATTTCTGTGATTCCAGCAGGGCATCAAGAAGATGTCATGAAGACGTCAAGAAAGCATGTATACCCATATTACCCGTATACATCCATATACAGGATTATTCAAGATCACAAGTACCTACTTCCAACAGGCTTGCTCACGCCGCAACCAAGCAAAGCATTGTTGTGATGTCGGGAAGTCAGAGCTACTGCGCAAGCTTACATAGCTAGCCATAGGCAAAAGATGGCAAAAGTATGAGTCAGGGCGCAAGCGTGTTTTTTTTTCAGAGCGGGCTGGACTCGAAACAGGATGATATTGTCTTTTTCCGTCTTTCTGATTTCCCTTTGGAGGAGTACCGAAGTTGGACCCCAAATGCGTGCCAAACTATCACATCTTGGAGCATTTGTGCCATGATTTGTTGCTCAATTCTTAATGCAGTTTTTTTTAGTTGGTATGTGTTTGAATCAGAAATGCGAAAGCCGATGCAAGTAGCAATGTTTTTGAAGATATATACAGGGATGCAAAAAGCATTGCGTACAACAATCTTTTTGAAACAGTTTTTCAGAGCACGTTGAATTGCTGTACAGCGCTGCTTGTTTTTGAATCCCACAAGAGCGATACCGTAAATGGAAATTGGGATGTCTTGTTGCCCGGACTCGCTTCTTCACCCCCTTCCCCGAGCTTTAGTCTTTTGACGAGTATGTTGAACACCTACTAAAGTACCACGTTTTTCCCTGGAAAAGTGGTGGTGTTGCCGGCCTCTTCACAAGAAGCAGCGAAGCATGAGCAAGCAAGCACAAGGAATTACATATTTGATATCTGTATGATTCAATTCATTTGATCTTATGATATTATGTCGAGAAAAATCGGTCTGATTCTGAGAGAAAGCCTGTGAGAGCACCTGCTGGCAGACAAAGAGTGATGCGATGATGGAGCAGCAACACCTAGCTGGGATCTTAAGAGTTGCCAGAATATGTTTTTGACATTTACAGAATTTTACAGAGAGGTCAGCACTAGGTTTACGTTTTGGTCCACAGAGAGCTTTATTCAGGTGGTGCGTGTGACTTTGACGCTTCCAGGCAATGCTTCAGGCCAAGCTGAGCCGCCTTCCTCCAAAGTTGCAGAACCAGGCAGAGACCGGGTTGGCACAGCAATTTTGAGTTATTTTGGGCACGAATTCGCTTCGGCGGTGCAGGAAAAGTAAGGATTCTTCCAAACATTGCGTTTGAACTCTTGAGAAATTAAAGGCACACGTGGCCAGTCACTCGTGTCCCTCTGCTCTGGCCACTCTCAGCAATCTCTTCAAGCTGGTTTCTTTGCTTGGTAGAAATGCAGAATCGAATAGCGCGGTTCGAAATTGGAATGTTCAAAAATTGGTTAAACGGTTACACATTGCTGCTTGCCGGACACTGGCGACTGGCCTTGACTGATGCGGTGCTTGGGACTGGGCATGATTGCGGATGCCATTTCTCATCAATTCTCTGACTTACAGGCTCTTGCAGGGTGTTAGGCGAAGATTCACGGAATTTGGAAGAGTACAGTACCATTCTTGAATATTGAAGCCTTTGTACAGAGACCCTGGAAAACATTATGACAAACGGAAGGTCTCTGAATGTGAGGTCAACACGAAGTATTAAAAACCGAGCTTTCCAAAGATGGAGAACAGACCACGGGAAGATGCTTCGGCAAGAATGAAAGCCTTCAATCGAAAAGCGTGTTTAACAACCTGTAGTAAACTGTACACGCTCAAAACGACGTAGGCTGTGCAAGGAAAGCCTGCCTTCAGATCTTTCAGTGCATGCTACATGCGTGTGCGCATTGTGCTTACTGTAGTACTTCACAGTACCTCGGGCAAAAGTCCCGAAAGGCTACACTTGGCACCAATTTTCTTTGTCAAACGTTTGCATGTCTGTTGTGTTTCTTCTGGTACGCTATGCTTTCAGCACTGCAGGGCCACTGTCCATCCAAGTACCCGGCCCATTCTCCAAAGCCCTGCAAGTTTCTCCAAGTTGTCCATCCACTCTGATGTGTAGGCCAAGCAAGAAAGTCCAGCACATGGCACAGGACCTAACTCAGCCCAAGTAACTTCAAGTCCACAACTAGTCACTGGGCTGGGTTGACATAGAACAGAACGCTCTAGTGACAAACAGGAGGCTGCTCTGACATCCGTCGCCGCACACTTTGTAATCTAAAAGGAAACCATCGACAATGCATGAAAGTCATGAACGGCTTAAAGGCTTGGAAAGTCTATAGATCATCAGTTCCAGGCCTGCGTGCATTGCACGCAAGGGGGGGGTCACAGACAAGCTGCCGCCTTTCTGCGTGCAATTACTTGTGACGTGGGTAAGTTTATTGCAACACATGATAGGTGGGGTGCGGAACAAGCGTACGCTGAGAGAGCAGACAGACCTTTGCGTCCATGTAGTTTGCCTCTATTGAAGCCAGGGATTCTTTCTATTATTTGTTTGCTTTGCTGCTTTGTCAGATGCAGTCTTGAAGATCTGAATATTGCACAATGACCCGGTAACTTTACAGTCTCGAATTCATATCTTTTTTCATGCAGTTCAGGTCCTCAGTTTTCGAGGGCTTCCCTGTTTTTGCAGGCGTCGAGTTTGCAGAACGTTCTGCGCTATGAAAGCAGGCAGCTTCAGCATCAGGCCTGAGTTACGCTTCTGTGAAGATTTCTACAATTGTTTGCTCCTGCTGACACAGATTGAGGATTCTCAGGTTGTGCACAGGAAGGCAAACTGAATCAAAAACTGACGAAGTGCGTGTTCAAGAAATGTCACGAAAGCTAGCTGTGCTAGCTGAAGTTGCTCTTGCTTTAGCAAGGAATAGGCAGGCACCAGAACCATTGGAAACCCTGAAACTTTCCAGTTAGACCCCCCGCCCTGGCAGGCCCAGGTTCGATCAACCTGAAATAGCAATCCCCGTATTGAGGGAGCCCTGGATCTACGTTAGAACACTTGTGGTCACGCGGCGGCAAACTACCTCTTTTTGCTGCGGTATGCAAGCAAGTCTTGAGCCACGGAGTGGCACAGTGGTCTTATAAATTAATGTGAACATGTCATGTACATGCAACACTGACATGCATGCATTGTGTAGACACGTCCCCAAAAATAAATTAGAAACAGACACAAATTTTCTTCGTGTCGTAACATGCACAAAACTTTTCACGCATAAGAAGCGCTCAGCTTATGCTCTGCTGTGAAACGTGTCCGAAGACAAAAATCAGATACTACTGCTGACCGCTTTTGCGGTTCGTGCATTTGAAAAATGAGAATCAATTCATGCGACAGGCTGACAGCTTTAGAGCCCCATGGTAAAGGTATAACCATAAAGCCAGAGCTCGTTTACTTTGTGGCATAAGATCTAACCATGTGCCGTCCGGTCGTCGGAGCCAGCGGTAGGTTGGTGCAACATAACCAGGCATATACTCAACTGTGCCTGTGTTTGGATTCTGCCTAAAGTAAGGCGGTTGAAAATAACCTCGACCGGTGTTACCGTTCGTTTGAGGTGCGTTTGGTGGCTCGGGCACATTCTGTCTAGTCTGCCACGCGCCTGTGTTTAGCCATTGTGCGCCAGTCTGCCGTCGTGGGGGAGAAGGTGGTTCAGGTACATTTGGTGGTACCTGTTGGCGATGCTGGCGTACGGTGTTGGTCCACGATGCACCTTGGTTTGACCGATTTTCGGTTCGACTTCTGGTGCTACGTGTCGGCGGTGTTTGTGATCGCTGGCGGCGATCATCACGTCCGCGTGCCACGTCTGCAGCCCGAGCCTGATGCTCTTTCAGTTGTGCGTGTTGGGCTTTGACTCGGCGTCCTCGGAGGAGGAGGCTGAGGTGGTGTTCGCGGCTGACGTGATTGAGTCCGATCGCGGCCGGTGTTGCGGCTCATGGATCTTTCTCGGCTTCTTGCACGAGTATCCGTGTTTCGGAATGAGTCTCGTTGCATTGGTGGAACACTGTCACGTCGCTCTCTTCTCTCTTCTCGTTGATCTTCACGATTCTGCTTGTATTGTTGATTCTTTTCTGCCCATTTTTCGCGACGCCGGGTTTCGGCTGCCTGAGACCTAACACGCGCCGCATGTTTTTCAAAACACGCATGGTGGCAAACGTCATCAAAGGAGAGTGCCATCCAGCATCGGTCTCTGCCAGACCAAGATCGTAGGTCATCAGGTGCTTTGCTTGTTCCAGGTCGGTTAAGATGATTTCATCGTTACTGTAACTGATGGTCCTGCTACGCCATCCGCACTTGCGGATTCCTGGCGACCTCTGTCCTCTGAAACGACAGTTTGTTTGCCGTAGCAAAGACTAATCAAAATCATGGAGTCACAGTCCGCTTCCGGATCACCCTCCATTGCACGAATGTACAATCCTGCTTGCGTTGAAGAAACCAAATTGTAAGTAATTCTATTCAAGGCGCTGCGGTGCAAATTTATATGTCCGAGAAAACGTTCAAGAATGTCAATCATGATGGAACTCCGGTAGTCGGAATGATCATCGTGCTTAAAATTTCGTTGGGCGAACTGATTGCCGTCTCCAGCGATGAAGTCAGCTTGGTGCTCTACGCAGGCGGCTACAAAATGTAACAGCTTTTCGCAGCACTCGCTGTACCCATTGTTCCGTGCCCAGGAATTGGCGTGGAATACGGAAATCCGAATTTCGGAGAGGCCGAGACGGCGTACGTCGTGAGTATCTGCACCGCTTCGCGGTTTAAGCAGCTCGACTGGACGGAACAAAGGCCGACAATTTCGCAAAATTTGCACGTCTGGAGAATCTTTTGTTGATGCCAATGGAGCCGGATGCGGCGTAATGGCTGCGTCCATATTCGGTGTCATATCCGCGGGCTTTTTGGCTCGGATCCCTGAGGTAGGGTCCACCATTTGTCCGGCAGTGGTTCTGCCAAAATCAATACGGAATATGCATCCGTGAATCCGCCAGAAGCGATTTTTAGGCTCTTTATTTTCCGTGATCGTTTGCTATTGCACTAAAAGTTCAATGAAAGTGCCTTCTTCATGGCTGCCGCGGACAAAAATGGCAAGTGATGGAGCCGTGATTTCGGCGTTGATCACCATTCCTATCATGGAGTGTTCCATGGCAAGTTGTTGGTGAAATGTGATATCTCCATGGTCGTCTGTGGCCTTAAAGAGACAGGTAATATGAGCATTATTTTTAAAAACAAGATGGGGCAAGACACGACAGTTTTTATCCCGACGTAACCAAGACGGGAACCGCTTATTTCCTCCAATGTATGGTTCGCGGTTAATGGCACCTAAGTTCAAAGATGATAACTGTCCTTTAGGCCTTCACTGACGTCGTCCGGTCTTCGGAGCAAGCTGTCAGCAACATCCTTTTTGCCCATGAGACAAGAACAAAAAATTTCCAGCATTTGAAGATATTCATCATCAGTAAGGTCATGGTACTGACAGTCCAACATGATTTCAGGACGCCAAATTGGCAATGGGCTAGCTTTGTCCTGTGCATCGATAAAATGTTCTTGAAATGTTGGTACTCAGCGATTTTCGGCTGGTTGGTACACAAAATATCACAAAATCAGCAAAAGGAAAATCTTGAACACCATGTTGCATGAAAGATTGAAAATAAGTGTTACCAACCTTTGATGCTCGGCTCAACTTTTGGAAGATTTCTTCAAAAGCTTCTTGTCGGTTTTCACTTTGTTCCGAAATATGCGGTTTGTCCCAGCACATTGTCAATTAGTTCACACCAATATCAAAAGAAGATTCATTGGAACCAATACTGTCGGGCATGAATTGTGCTCCAAGCTCGGAGGAGTAATGAACAATATGGTGCTTGCATGCTTGGCAGTGAGAGCGGCAATTCAAGCAGTACGCATACCCGCAAGGATGGCACCAGTACATCGCATCGTCAGAGCCACAAATGTCAATTTTTTTTGCAGCAAAGCTGACCTTCTGGCCGCTGGAACCACTGGATATTCGTGAATTCCTGCGTGAATTTGGTATAAACTTCCTTAGCCGTGTTTGCGTCTTTGAAGAGTTCTTTTGCCTGTCGCGATGTCTCACGTTTAGTGGCTGGTGCTTTGACCGTTTGTCGCGCGCGCTCCTTCGCCGAACCTTCGGCTGGCTTGGAGGCAGAGGCTGACGAACTGCGGGCTGCAGTGGAGGGCTCCGGTTTATCGGATTTCTTCCTCCATTCTTCTCCTCCTTTTCTCGGCAATGCCTTCGCCCTGATCGGCGTAACAGGCTTGGCCATATGCGAAGAGGACTCACTTTCTGAGGAACTCATTTCTACTTGTCTAAGTCCTTTTACCTCGCGCTTCTTGTTCTCTCTCCGTGTTTCGGATCGAACTTCCTTGCGCATTCCTTGTTTGAAGCGCTCTGCGATGGTGCGACGTATCTCATCTACACGGTCATTTTCTCGGGTCTGGGAGGACCACGAGAGCGGTCATTGGGCGTCGGTCCATCACGTGGTGGCCTGGCCGAGATATCGGCGCGTGCCGTTTGGAAGCTGTTGAGGGAATTCTGGATGATGTTTGGGTCTGAAAGCTTGTCAGTTACATAGTGAATGTAATCTGTTCTGGTCCAAACAATTCCATCAGCTTCATTTTGGTTCCTCTTTTCCCAATAAAATTGTTGGTGAGCAATATGCATTGAAATACCAACATTAGATTTGTAATTGGTCATTTTGGCAAGTTCTCCGCGTTGCGGAGGATCAGCCATGCACAATTGAGAGCAAACTCCAACAAATCGAGCATATGAAACTGTATGAGTTGTAAGGACATAGTTATTTTCCGTGATTACGGGGTCAAGTCCTTCAAGGCACGCGGGAGCGCCGATGACAATGCAATCGGACTCCGGTCTCAAGGCATCGGTCATTGTTGTACGGCAATGATCAAGCGCAAAGTGCACATGATTTCTTCCGCCTCGTGTGCCTCCGGGCATAAGCCCGCGAGAGCGGATCAATGCCAGATTTTTCTCGTTAGTTCCATGCACCAAATAACGATCTTTATAAAATTTTAAACCATTGGTCTAAAAGGAGTATGTTCAATATGGACTTGATTGGAATGACCGCTGCCAATGCGTAGAAGAATGTTGGCGATGCCTAAGCCTTCCAGCATATCAGCTTGGGATTGTCTGTTACCGGTGTCTGTGAATTCTGCTGGCGTGAGCCAAGATGTCCGTGTGGCCATCTTTCCGGGTAAAATTCGTTGCGGGTAAGATGCCCGATTTGAACTCTACTCTTGTTGCTATTGCAACACACATAGGCAAGCAGCAGCAAAAAATTGATGACAGGCATATTTTGCGGCACAGCGTCTGTCTGTATCGCACGAAGTCTTTCATGGCATTGATTTTGCATTTGCCGAATCTTGCGGCTACATTCGTCAAGCGAAAGTGATCCATCGTCGTGTGGCCAAAAACCCTGCCTAAAAAAGGTAGGAAAAATGGCGTGACCCTAGCTCGAATATCGAGTCATTCAGGGAATGAGCATGTTCGTCATCTGTCTGTACAGCTCCGTTTTTGTGGAGGACTGCGATCAAGGCTTGTACGAATGCATTGACATGTGGTCTGATAATTTCTGAAGGCTGTCTAAAGGCATCTTCAATCATACGATTGCGTCTTTCTTTTTCACTGTCATCTCTTCCTCGGCGTCTGTCCGATCTGTCGGATCGACCGCCTCGAGGAGTGTGGTCAGGTCTATATCGCCTCGAGGAGTGCGAAAACCACGAGCCGTGTCCGAATTTTCGGAACCTGGCGGTTTGGAAAATACTTTGCATAAGATAAGATCACAAAAGGGCAGTCAGAGACGTCCCAGGAGTCAGTGCACGTCGAGTCAGGTCAGAGGCAGTCGGCGTCGCCTCAGGTGTCCGTGCACGTCACGGCAAGTCAAAAAGGGGCAGCCGGCATTGCCCCAGGTGTCCGGCCAGTGGACCGGAAAAAGAGATCCAAGAAATATCGTTTCCTATTGAGCCAAGAGATTGCAGACACAAATTTTCTTGAGACGAAAATTTACTCGTATTTTACTCATCAAAATACATCATGGCAAACACATAATCTGAGATATCTTCACATAGAAACGCAAGAACATTGTGTGGTTCATGAAGTGTTTCAATGACCCATGTTGTCAAAAAGGACTTCTGTTTAAGCAACGACCTGAAAGGTGGATGCACGTCTACCTGTTCAAGTTTGCCAGTGGTTAACGACGAAACAAGTTGGTCTGGCCTAGCAGTGGATTTTGTAAGAGGGTCTGCTAGACAATATTCACTAGCTATGTGACTTGAGTCGTCGAGGTGGCCAGCCAAAAACGACACCCTAAAGAAACCCTAAATGAAACCCTAAAAACCTAAACGAACCCTAAATGACATCCTAAAGAAGCCAAAAACGTAACCCTAAAGAAACCCTAAATAAAACCCTAAAGAAACCCTGAATGAAACCCTAAAGAAACCCTAAATGAAACCCTAAATCCTCAAGAACCCTAGAAGAAATCCGAAAGAATCTTTGAAACCACAGAAAGATCATTGAAGACGATCAAGAAAGCAATGAAAACATCCCTACTCTCTTAAAAATGGAATTTGAGGGGGGGGAGTCGTACTGAAATTTCATTTTAAAATTCCATTTTTGCAATCATGCTTTCTCAATGATCAATATTCCTCATCATTCCATGTCTTTGGCAAGCAGATGAAAATTAAATATTTGCGCTTAGCTCCGGAGGAGCTAAGCACATGTCAGACTAAAGCAGCACATATGTAGGGATGGCATCCCTCCAAAAATTGCGCCGCCGTCATCATACTTGCGCTTAGCTCCTCCGGAGCTAAGCGCAAGTATTTTCTAGCCAGTGCCCAAGGCTTGTTAAGAAATGTTACTTTACAATTCCATTTGAGGGGTTGGATCACTATCCCAGGGTTTCCAAGCAAAAAAATGGAATTCGACAGCTTGGTTTTGTCCCCCCCCGCCCTCCCCCTCTATAGGGGTAGGGATATGAAAACCATCCAGACATCGTCGAAAACGATGGGAAAATTGGTGAGAACTGAAATGTTGCAATTATCGCGCAAATTTAGGATTTTAGCTACCCAAATTTGCGACTTCAGCTCCGACATGCTGCAAATAGCATGCAAAATGAGAGATTGTAGTTCAAAAACGCAGCAAATAGCACGCAAATCAGAGAGACTTTAGCTCCAAAATGCAGCAAATAGCATGCAAATCAGAGATTTGGGCTCCAAAATGCAGCAAATAGCACGCAAATCAGAGATTTTAGCCCCAAAATGTAGCAAATAGCAAGGAACATTGCCCCAGACTGAAAAACAACAAAAACTTAAATATAAAAAATGAAACCCTAAAAACAATCATCACCCCTTCTTTTTCAAAGCACCGCCGCTGTCATTCCTGTCCTCTCGCTTTCAAGCTGGAGCTCCGTTTTTCAACTGAAAGCGCGGCAAGGCTCTCAATGAAATCCCAGTTTGCTCAATTGACACCTGCACCAGCTCTGAGAGCCTTGGTCTCAGCTCAAATTCAAAGTCTCAAGTGAAGATTTTCATTGGGGTGATTGATCTCAATGGACTTGGTTGATGCCATTCCCTCATTTGTTATGCTCCACGTGCAAACAGATTAGTTCCAATATCATATCATACAATGGTCAATCGTTTCGTTTGATTAGCGGTAGTTTGTTGCACACAATGACATTGATGTTCCTCCACAGTGCAATGTTGAGTGTTCAAGAAGTGCTTGGAATCTTTGCAAGCGCTTGAATGGTGCAATCACTGTTGCAACGTGTTGGGCAAGATATTGCATCGTTTGATGCTGTAGGCTACGAACTCTCCTTCATGAAGCAGTTCGGCCCCGAGAATTCCATGGATACTGCACTTCATGCAAGCCATGGCCGTGTGCTTTGAACATCTTTTCACTGGTGAAGAGCCTTTTTCGAGCATGTTCGAACCCAGTCGGGACTCAACTTCGCTCAAGCCTCAAAGATCTTAAATTGTGCAAGACGCGGCATAAAGCAATCAACATCAACCAACATGTGGTAGAGAAACCATCCATCCAAAACCTCGCAGCCGTTGGGGCGTTGATTCGCATTGCACTGTCAAATTATCTTGCTATCCCCGCACCCGCCTCGCATACAGCTTCTCTGATGGGATCTGCGGCAGTGCTATCTGGGCATTCTCGATGGAGGGTAGGTGTGAAAGCGTTGCTTTGCGCTGCAGTGGTTACGGTGGTTGCCTGCAATTGCTTTGTCCTGGTCGGTGACGTCAGCCCATCAGTGAGGCAGAGCAGTTTAGAACAATAGTTCACAACAATGCGGCTGCACGTTGAGTTCAATCAGAAATCATAGCCTGATTGGTTGATATTGTTTGCGCGTTTCTTTTGAAGCATGTTTCCACGGACTGTATGTGTGATCGTCAATGCTTGAAGGCAATCCTTTGCAGGAATCCGTTCCAAGCGTACGACTTCAACTTGGAGAACAAGGCTGCAGGATTTGGGCAGGCCTGTTTCTGCCAGTGTCAGTTTTTTTTTCTGCTGCTCTCAGACTTGAAGAGAAAGGTGGAGCAACCTGAGTCTGGCCTAATGTGACAAACAATGACGGTTCATTATTATTATTATATATATAATTATATATATATATGCATGTGGTTATATATGATTATATATGATTATTTTTGATTATATATGATTATATATGACTTTATATGCTGTGTATTGCTATGTTACGTGCTTGTCCATGTTCATGTTGAGGCAAGACTTGAGCTGCGGGCTGGTCGGACAAGAAATCAGGACCCTTTTTCCTGGAGCTAAGAGACTCGTTCGAGTGACCTGCCTTGCAGCGCTTTCCCTTTGGATTTTCAATATGTAGATATACCTGGTCTGAAGTCTCAAGAAGTCTTAAAGGTAGTGCGCCCAGTATAGAGCAGATCACATGTTTGCGGAATCCGGTTTCTGTTTTTGGCAGGGAGACGGGAGCCCAACACTTTTTGCTTTGCTGGGTGCTACTACCTTCTGATGTGTCCGATGAAGAGCCAAGTGATTGTAATGAAATGCGTATTGAGCATTTGCTCAACTGGAACATTTATCGCACGGGCTGGCTTCGGCAGGGGAGACCATCCAAAGCGTACTTGGGTGCCTTGAAAAGTCTTCGCTACTCTGTGAACCCCTCATTTCTTATTGTAGAGCTTCGCACACCGGCGATGCCATAAGGGTTATGTATAGTAGTGTGCGCATTGGTGTTGTTCATGTGCTCGGCGCGCGCGCGCAGGTGCAGAGCACAGAGTGATGTTCTTTTCCTACCACAGCTTGTAACCATTTTAATTACCAAACATGTGTTTGTCCTTTTTTTGCGCTTGTTCTTGTTCTTGTTGTTGTTGCTGTTGTTGCTGCTGCTGTTCTTCTTCTTCTGCTACTTCTTCTTCTTCTTCTTCTTCTTCGTCTTCTTCTTGTAGCGCATCTTATTCTCGCGTTTTTGTGCACCCCTAAAGATCACCAAATAGTCGGTCGTTTCGCGTTTTTTCAGATTCCCGGAGCAAAAAACACCGTAAATACCGGTGTTTTTTGCGCTTCGAAGGCCGAAACCCGTATTTGCGATGTTTTCTGCCTCGGGTAACAAAAATCACGGCGTACTATTTACAGTGTTTTTTTGCCAGCATCTAGCAAAAACGCAGGTGTTTTTTACACAGTTTTCAGCATGTTGCAAGACGTACTTTTTCCATGCCAAAGGCGCGTAAACACAGCAAATTACAATGTGAGCAAAAAAGCAAAATTCCGCCAAAATATGCCCAAAATGACATCCAAAAAGTTTCTCGTAATTGCACCGTCTTTTTTTCCCACCCCGGAGGTTTGGCGGTACTACACAACACGGCGAGGCATCGCCGGATTAAAGATTCAACAGATCCTGATGGCTCGTTGGAACTGACCGAATGTGAGCAAGGGCATATTCTGACGCCTCATCGACGGTGAGCAAGGACATATCCTGATGTCTCATTGGAACAGACCGAAGGTGAGCAAGTTCATATCCTAATGTCTTATTGGCTACATCCAGCAGTTGTGAGTGACGTGACCACTGCAACTACTCCAAAAAGCACAACTCCAACTACTTTTCGGTCCATCAATGGATTCGCCCTGCCATCCATGCATCACAACAACGCACGCTTCCTATAGTTTCCTATATTGAAACTTCTGCTGGTATAAATACATGTATGTGTATTTACACACACACATATATATATATAGATTTAGATTTATACGAATATTCAAAACATATATATATATACTTGTACTTGCTTATACATTGTTCGTAGCAGCAAAAAGCCAGCGGCGGTAAAGTCGTGCAAAACTTTCGCTTGGCTCCACAGTCTGCCCACGATTGGAAGGCCGCAAGCATCATGACAGTCATTGGCCAGGGTTGCACTTTGCCATTGAGCGGCGTTAAAGGTTAAAGGCTTCGTTTTCGTTTTGCCAAATTTGCCACTGAATGATGCAATGACACAGAGCGGCTTTCTTTCTTCTGAAGAGGATTCAAAGTGCTGTTCTGGGAGCGCTTTTGCTGTGTGGTGGTTTATGGCTAGCAAAGGTTCCTTGCCGCAAACTCTTGTCAGTTGGTGAGTGTGTTTTTCTGCGCTTTTGCACGTGGTGCGCATGAGGGATCCGGCGTTGTCCTTTTCCAATCTGAGGTTCTGACAGGCCAAGAAACTGGATGCACGGTGATGCATTGGAGAATTGTCTACAATCAAAAAGTACGAAAAATGATTTAAGATAGATGTAGATAGAATTTTGATCGCACGAGTCATCACGAGCCCCAGCCTGAGTTTGAAAGACGAAGCTGCAGTGTGCCTATTGGGCTGCCAGGCCATGTCGAGACCATTGCAAGTCTTCTGGGGTCGTTGAGAGCTGGGGCAGCTGGAACAGCACTGGCAGCTGCTTGGGGCGCAGGACTCGGATGCAACAGATTTCACATATGTTTAGGAATTAACCCAGCATACAACCCCAATAGCAAAGTTTTGCGTTTCCTTTGACGCCGATTTTTGCGTTGACAGGTGAGCTAGCTTAGCTGAGAAAATACCATTCCTTCAGTACCACCAAGACACACCGGAACACTGCCAAGACACCACGGAAACACCCAAAACATGAGCAAAACACCCAAAACATCACCAGACACCATCAAGACACTACACTACGGACACACCACCAAAGTGCCACCAAGACACCAACGACCACCGAAACAAAATTGACAGACCACCAAGACACCAGCACGAAGGACACAACCAATTCCCAAAAGGACCTGCAAAGGGTTTTTCCCAAAAAGTTGTTGCCAACAAAAATTGTCATAATAATTTTTGCCATCACCATCTTCTCGCATCATCATCGACACAACACCGTCACAACAACATCATCACAGCACCATCATCATCATCATCATCATGATCATCGTCATCACCATCATCATTGTCATCATTGTTTTCATCATGGTCACCTTCTTCTTTTCACCAACCATGCCCACATCATCAACATAATCATCATCAACAACAACAAAGACAACAAAAACGACAACAACAACAACAACAACCACAACCATAACCACAACCACAACAACAACCACAACAACAACAACAACCACAACAACCACAACAACCACAACAACAACAACCACAACAACCACAACAACAACACACAACACCCAACACCCAACACCCAACACCCAACACCCAACAACCAACAACCAACAACCAACAACCAACAACCAACAACCAACAACCAACAACAACAACATCATCACTTTTCATTTTTGACAAGTTTCAATTTGTGCATTTACAAAATGAGATACACAGGTGTACATGCAGGTATGTAAATATGACTATCTTATTGACGCAGGCGTTGGAGTGCAGGTGCATAGATGAAGATACACAGAACCCTCTTTAAAACAACTACCGCATGAGCATTTGCAGGTCTAGCACGACAGGTGCATATAGATAGATAGATAGATAGATAGACAGAGAGATAGATAGATAGATAGGTAGATAGATAGGTGGATAGGTGGATAGATGGATAGATGGATAGATGAATAGATGGATAGATGGATAGATGGATAGACGGATAGATAGATGGATAGATAGATGGATAGATAGATAGATAGACAGATAGATAGATAGAGAGGTAGACAGGTAGATAGATAGATAGATAGGAAGATAGGTAGAGAGGTAGATAGGTAGGTAGGTCGGTAGGTAGGTACGTAGAAGATAGATGATTGATTGATTGATTGGTTGGTTGGTTGATTGATTGATTGATTGATTCGATTGATTGATTGATTGATTGATTTGGTTGATTGATTGTTTGGTTGATTGATTGATTCATTGATTGGTTGATTGATTGATTGATTGATTTGATTGATTGATTTGATTTGATTTGATTTGATTTGATTGATTGATTGATTTGATTGATTTGATTATTTGATTGATTGAGTGATTGATTGATTGATTGACTGATTGATTGAATTGATTGATTGGTTGATTGATTGATTGAGAGACAGACAGACAGACAGACGGACAGACAGACAGACAGATAGATAGATAGATAGGTAGATAGATAGAATTATATATATGGTCCCCTCCTCCGTCTCTCCACCCCCCCTCCCCCCCGCAAGGGGCTGGGTCCCCATAGCACCCCCTTACCTTCTATTTGCGGGCTGTTGGCAGCATTTCTGAGGTCCAGCTTCGTTTTTGCTAGGTCTTTGCAGCATTTCTGACTACCAGCCTCGCATTTACTAGGTACATGCTACCTTTTAGACGATCTACGTAGCACACATACTCCCTCAAAGTACCTACGTGCTACCTATAGCCATATATATATACATATATACTACCTGTGTACTCTCACAACACTACATGTGTTTTAACATATACCGTACCTACCATACATTCCATTGATGCCATACATACCATACCTAGCATACCTATCATACATACCACACATACCATACATGTGAAACATAATTACCACACTTACCATACATACAATACCAAACATACATGCCATACATACCAAACCTTACATAGGAAACATTCCATGCCCATCATAGTAACCATACATACTGTCATATCAAACATACCATACCCAACAGACTTACATACCATACCTACCATCCATAAAATACCAACGATTCATGCCATGCATACGTACCATACATACCAAACATACCATACTTTCCAAACATGCCATACCAGACCGACCATACACACCATACATACCCAACATACCATACCACACCCCCACCACAACACAGGGGGGGAGGGGGACAGTACCACACCCCCACCACGCCACAGGGGGGTGTTATTTATTTTGTTTTACGTGTCTACACAATGCTTTCATGCATGTTGACATGTACACTGAATTCACTATTTCCACTGCGCCACTTCGCTGGCTCAAGACTACTGCATTACCGCGTAGAAAAGAGTGCAGCGGCCTCTGTTTGACCACAAGGGTTAACTAGATTCCAGGGCTCCCTCAATACGGGGAAAGCTACCTCAAAGTGGTAGCGGAGCCTGCGCCTTCGCCAAGTTCCGATCCGTGTGCCGAACTGTTGTTCTTTGCATACATTCCGTATATCAGACTTGCGAAGGCAACTTGTAGGTCAAGTTAGAGTAGCTGCCATGGTCTTAATCCACAACATGGATTCAGATGAAGAACAACCCCAAATTGTTTCTTATGAAGAGCCTGAAGCATATGCCGCTGCCAGTCATTCCGAAGACCGGATGGGCATCACAATGACACCAAAGGTTCCACCCCAATTTGATGGCCAATCTAGCTGGTTTGAATATGAAGACTTAGTTGATGACTGGCTCGGGATCACAACATTGCAGATAAGCACGGACCATCATTAAAGAATGCCCTCATTGGTTCAGCTTCTTTTTATAAGTCGATGCTCGATAATGCCCTACTCCGAGATCCGGATCGTGGCCTCGCTCATTTCAAGGACACATTGAGACCATACTTCGTGAAGGGAGTAAATCATGTGTTTCTTTGGCGATTCCTCCAGATGTTTCGCACATATCGAGGCCAGAGTGAATTCGCGCACTGGAGTGGGCGATTCGAAATCGCGCGGAAGCGTTTGTTGGCTTCTTGGTCCGACTTGCTTGACTTATCCGATCTTCCTGAAGCAGGCACTCAGGCATTTACGGCAGCACTCACTGATGAGCAAAGACTGCACTATAATGGCATAGTAGCAGATGAAGACAAGCTTGCATATCAACAAGAGCTTCGTGAACAAACCATCACAAATAGAAGGACCAGACATGCCGCACAGTTTCCATTGTCAGACAATTTGATGTCACTGATTTTCTTAGTCCAAGCAGACCTCAACGAGCAACAACGAGAGCGTTTTGTCTCGTCCATGAACATCCGTCAGATAGCAATGCCTCAGCATACATATCTCCAAGTTAAACAGCTGTTCTTAGAACTTTTTGCCGTTTCTCGCACAGGTGTTGCAGACCCAAACATCACGCACCGCAAGCGGTCCACTTTCTACGTCATTGAGGAAGGAGAGACCGAAGAGGGTGAGTACGGATTCTGGGTCTTGGACGAAGACACAGACAGCATCTTCTAGCGCATCACAAGCCCCCGAAAAACAAGAAACCGCCCACGCCGAAGAAAGCTGGAGTTATGACTATGACACCTATTGGACAGATGATTGGTCAGGATATGAATCCTATTACGGATATGATGGAGATTACTCCCAAGGTGATTGGTACAATTGGTCTTACTTTGCTTCCGCTGAGGAACTGACCGAATCCGAGGACAAGCATTCAGAAAGTTTAGAAGTCATTTCTGAGGACGGACAGACGGACAGACGGACCAGATCAATCGGTTTTGTTTTTCGGCCTTTTTCTTGTTCCAATTTCTCGGACACGAACTTGTACAAGCCTTTGCATTCGTGCTTCTGTTCGTGTCTCTGATGTACCAGCGCTTTGCAGATTAGAACAGGTTTCTGTTTAAGAGCATCCGCCAAGTTGAGAACAGTGTTTCTACCGAATCCGGTGACCTGCATTCGTTCCTACCGCACACATGCCCGCTCAATTCCGTTTTCACGGAAGAGTGTGTATTGAGTGTGTATTTCTCAATTATGATCATGGTGCCCAACAAGCATTGCTTTGTGAATATTATGTAGATCTTGGTTCTCATCCGACTTATGTTATTCTTGATTCAGGTTGCAGAGCCATGGGATCCCGCTTTGCCATTGATCGCCTTGTACAGGCTTGCCAACAGCACCCGAAGCGTGATCACATCTGGTTTTCCAAGCAGCCTTGTTCAAGTAAGCTTTCATTTGCAAATGGAGAACAATCTACAGTTAAAGAAAGATTAGTGATTCACTTTCGCAATGATCGTGCACAGACTGGTTGGATCACAACATGCGTTGACATTCTGGACAAAGGTAAGGTTCCCATCCTCTTTTCAGTTGAGCAAATGCGGAACCTTCGCATGAATATTGAACACACTCCTGTAGGTGAGTTTTTGATTTGTCCACTTTTCGGAATGCAACGCACCGCATTGGCGGCCAGTACATCCAACCATCCAGTCGTTGACATTATGGCTCTTGCAACTTCAAGTTGGAAACCGATGTACAGCTTTCAGTCCGAAGACATCACATGTCCAGCATGTAACGGTAAACATCGTCCACACACAAACAAGGAAGGTTGTAAGAGATTCAAGGGATCAGAACAAAAATCAGTACAAGTGCCGAAACCGGCCAAGTCCGATTCCAAGAAAAATGTCAAGAAGGTAATTCAGCCTGATAGTAAGTTAGAAGTACCAAATCAGCATTTTGATCCTGATGACGAGCCAATGGTGGCCTCTGGACCAAGTTCCGGTTCAAAGGACGGAGTCCCCAGACGTCGGGAACCTCAGATTGAAGAAGATAATGCAGAAGTCCAACCGGAACC